ATACCTCCTGACGTCCCCCATCTTAATCTAGACCGACTGTGTACCCTATCTGTGCCATACAGCAACACTCCTTAACATGTGTGTGTTTTCGTCCTATTTTTTATTATGGCGACAGTCCCCCCATTTTTCGTGGTGAGACATGTACGACACTTTTCAGCGTATGTAGAGTATTTCAATTTTCAGTGTATTTTTCGTACAACTACAACCATCCAGGGTCACACAGGAGGGGGTAAATAAACACCAGGGTTTCTTTCTTCTTTATTTTTCTTTTCATGCCCCACCTTCCTCCTGCGGTGCGTGCTGAATTTATATTTTTATCGCGAGAAGGGTCCAGCCGTTCCTTTCCCTCGTCAGCGGTGCTAACGTCGAAGTTTGGTACTCACGAGAGCTGTTTAGCTATATTTCGCTTTCACCCGTAAATTTCGTAATTTTTTCACCCCATGGGGATTCGAACTCACGACCTCTGCGACTAGCGGACTACGAGGATACCACTAGACCCCGGGGCGACCCGTGGATGTGTCAGTTATGGTTGGGATGGGCAAGACTATACTCTGAAAATACGTAATTTATGAGTTTCGTACCAAACCGCACACAAGCGGAGGAGTTACCCGACGTTGAAACTAGAAACCAAGACTAGAGGTCATAGATACCCGAAATGTAAGCCAAGTTCATCATGCGGATGATGCGGCAGTATTCAAGGAGCACCACAGCAAAAGTATGTCAGTTTGCGCGCCTACCTACAAAATGCCCCATCTTCTCTTCTTGCACTTTTCAGACTTTTCCCTTCGGTACGCAGTAGTCTATGGACGCATTAGCCGGGGTAACACAGGATGAAAATGGTGTTGTTCTACTTGATATCAATCACCATTAATTATTCATCTGTTTCTGCGCCAAAGTTCATCCTCTGTACATACCAATTGACCGGTGGCTTCAAAGGGTGCACAGCCGGCTTTCACTTCGCCATGAGGGTGTGTAGAAGAGACAGGCAGCCGCGGTGTATGTTGCCTGCGCTGCCGTTCAGGTCTTGCTTCGTGGGCGATATTACTGCTTGAGAGCAGCGCCCCAGGGCCCTCGATCGACGTGTCGTAAACACGATTGAATATTTCGGCACAAGTACCCATTGTAGGAAGTGTCGTGCACAGCAGTATTCACTGCTGTTGTTTATCCGATAGACAGTACCACTGATATTCAATAACTTTTAGGTAGTAAGTAGAAGCCAACGCGGTATTCACACCCTTTTGGGTGCTCTTGGTAATGGGAAGCCACTACACACTGAAGCCTTCAGATCAACATCGAACAACAAGCTCATTCACTCCAACCCGACCCCATCATAACAACGCGAAGATTCGGAACCCCCTGACCCAACTTCCCCCCAAGCCCTTCCGCCACACCACCACCCGCACCAAGCCCTCCCCCGCCAAGCGGGTGCGTTCGCCAAGCCTTTATTTCCTCCAAGACTCTGGCCTTTTCCTCCCGTACAACCGCCCTCGCTGCCCTAGCGCGGGCCTCCTCGGCCTCCCTCCGCTGCCCGGCCATGCACAGCCGTTTCATGCCGGGGTCGAGCCCGCCGCCTTCCTCAACGCCGGCGCCTACGGCAGCGCGCGCCGCCGCGCTCATACCGGGCACCCCAACTCTCGCCTGCTTGGTGATGGACAGCGTCCTGCCCGTGGGATTCCAGATCAATGACCCCGTGAACTGGGCGACGGCCATTGTGTCCCCCAGACGTACCACGCAAAGTTCCGCGTCGTCGTCGTCTCCTGCTTCTCGTGGAGGAGAAGGTTTCAAGGGCACGGGAGCTCCGCTGCCTGTCGGCTCGCACTTTTCTTCTTGCTGCCCCCCAGCGTGCAAGCTTCTGTCATTACTGCCTGCCTGATTGCTATCGCTGTGCTGTATCACCCAGGGGTGGGTGGCGAAGGAACGCTCGAAGTAGCAGGCGCCCGGCGCGAGCGATCTCCGCGGAACGCGCCTGCCGTCGTAGTCGATCCACGATACCTGGACAACGAGAGCGGCGAACGCAAAACGGTGAGTGAAAGTCATCAAAGTTATGGTCGTGTTGGCGTTCCACGGAGCACGAGTTTAAAACGACGAACGGCTAGGACCCACTCTCGACAACCACGGTCGTAGCTGCTGGGTCCCGTTTCGTGTGGTCGTTGAGGTGCTACCTTGTGGTACATACCACATGCCATCTTTGGATAAGTGGCACCCCGTGGGTGTCCCGGGGCGTGAGCACGAAGTGTTCCTTCTCCCCTGCGAGCACCACCGAAACTTAAGGGTGTACGCTACGAAACTTGAGGGTGTACGCAACGGCACAGACATCCTCGCTCCAAAGCTTCCAGTAGAAGCTAAATGTTCTTGCTGCGAGCAGATCCTAAATGAGTAACTATATGTCGTTGTTTGCGTTCCGCAAATACAGCAGAACCCAAAGCCTCGTACGGGGTTGCCAACTCCCTCATGAGGTTGCTCCACCTTCATCACCGCAGACTCGTGGTTGTTGCAGAACCAGATGAACACGGCAAGGTCATCCACTGCCGATGACTCGAGCCCCAGGGGAAACGTTGGCGGCTTCTCTTCCGCCTCATCCGCAGGAGTTGCAGCTGGCGCAAGGGTGGCCTGTCTCCTTGCTGGGTGTTTCCTCGCGGCCAATCCCTGGTCGTCGTCGTCAAAGATGCCTCCGCCTGTTTCAAACTCCCACCCTATTGCATTCCTCGCCCCTCCCTCCCCGAACCTAGGAGCACCACCTTTGCCCTCTCTGCTAGGCCAACCTAGACGATTTATTCCCGCTGCCAATCTTTCGCTTCCAGTGACTTCTTTCGGGGATCCAAATGCTGACATCGCCAGATCGGCTTCAGGTTGCCCTCCGCCTGTCTGCAGCTGGCCACCTCCTGCCGCGTGCGACGCTTGGTTTCGAGCGAACGAGGCCAGCTTCGGTCTGTCGCTCGACAAGGAGTACCTGAGGCTGTCTCTACTGCGAGCTAAAATTGTGGTCGTCTCCCGCCCGAGAGCTCCTTCTGGTTCGCTTTCCTCATATCCTTGCGACTTTGGCGATTTCGAGGCTTCAAATGGTCGCTGCCTTTCACTGCCTGAAGGGAACGTCCCCCTTACTCTCCCCCGCCCCTCGTTTCTTCGCCTCGAGTATACAGATGCCGGCGACCAGCCACGGGGCACCGTGCAGACGCCGTTAGCCTGGGGGGGTCCTAGAGCAGCTACCGCCTCCGGGGCATGCCGATCGAGAGCCCAGAGCACAAAGAGTCTATCCGGCTCTCGGCACGAGACGGCCTCTTCGAAGTCGGCCAGGGAACGAATTATCGCCGACTTGTGTGCTTCGGCACCGGAACCGCCGTCCATTGCGCTCGATCTCAGGGCGGGAACATCGAGGTTGCCGTAAATGTCGACGCCGTCTAGGACAACATGACCAGTCCCAGCTCCAGAGGCTGTGCTGGGACGAAGTGTGCCGTTTGCACTGGATTCATCCCAACCTCCCACTGCCACAATCAAGCACCCGGCAGAGAGTCGACCGTCAAGCTCAGCCTGTCCCGCCTGGAGCACTCGCCGGACCCGCACGATGCCCCTATCGCCGGGGTATTCCTCCAGTTCCACGCCCAGTGGCCCGGGCTCGAACTGCACCCGAAAAGCGTTACGCGAGGGTGCCGGTGTGCCGTCCTCGCGCTGAAAGATCATACGGGTGATTGCCATCTCGGCGGCAAGCTTTCCGTCGCCGATGCCAGGTTCGATGCATTCATCTTGTTTTTCGCCTTGAACGCCACCGTCGATGGTGCCGGACCACTCACTGGTGCGGGCCAGGAAAACGGTCAGACCGAGATATCCTTCTCTAACGTCCAGATAATGCCTCGAGTCTTCCGATATCAAGGAGGATGGCTTTGGCGGCCCTTGACTGCCATGTTGTAGTGCGCGGCAGAACATCTCTGAAGGAAGCAAGGTCTCGTGGTCAACACCTCTCGAGAACCCTTCTACAAAGACGTCGATGCAGCTTTCTTCATCCTCAGACAAAACATGAGTAGCAGAAGCATAATCTCCTGCTGGTGCACTCGTGCGATCTCTCCTGTGTTGAGTGTTGTAGCCGTTGAGTACCGTCACTACAGTAGGAATGGGAAGACCTTCCGCTGATCGTGCCTCACCCTGCAGTTCTTGGGCTCCCAGCCCTGAGTCTTGGCGTGGTACGACTCGAGAGATTCGCACTGGTTGCACCTTTCCTCTTTCCTCCTTGCCGATGGGGCTTGGGTCCAGCGCTGGATCATACAGACCCGATCGGTTGCGATCGACCGGCGCCGGGCATGGAAGTGAGGGTTCCACGCATGGCGGGATCGGCGGTAGGCTGCTGCCGCTTCCATCTCGCCTTGGTTTCCGACCCCCGATCGGTGGCAGGAGGTGACCAACATCCGAGGGTGTTGTCGGCGTGTGGTGTGTCCGCTTTGTCTGAGTGGTGCAAATGGTGCCGGGGCAGTGGAGACAGTAGGAAACAAGGATCGGGACCGAGCCTGGCAACGGCCACGTACAGCAAACACAGCTGTTTGCGCTCCGCACAACATGATCCTGCATACTGCAACCCCATATGCTACACTGCTTGTGTAGGAACATGTAATGCAGAGATGTTGAGCCAGCACCACTATGCAACGCGGGCGAAAATCGGGGTTGGTAAAGATCAGGGCAGCATGTATGTAGACCACAGTCAGTTCACAGCAGCATCAGTCCACAAGTCTAGTCTAGTCATCGTGTCAAGTTCAATGTCACGCAATCGAAACAACCTGCCTCACCTCCCATTGCTGATACGGCAAGCTCGTCTCCCGAAAGTGGTTGCTAGTCACATCAATACTAGCAACGACTGGGAGGAGGTTCTCCATGGCATTACCAAGCTTGGCAGAGGTACAAGTCCATGGTCCGTATGCCGATGATGTGAACCTACAGTAATGTTGCGGCGCAATTCAAAATTTGAAATAGATAATTGACGGTTACACACGTCGAAGTATCTCCGCGTTTCGTCGAACCGGTACGACAGCGAAGATGCTCGTAATATATCTCGAGTGGGTACCGTAGGTTGCATCAGATATCACACTTTCATTAGATACCACACCCCCTCAGAAAACGTACACAATACCACATCCGTGTGCTATTTCTTTCAATCCCGAAAAAAGTATCATTTTATCACACGGTGACACAAGATACCACACCCCTGAAGTTGGGCCGCATATTTCGACGGAGCCCCCGCCTATCACACGGTGTGACGTGAGGGATGAGATCACAAGCAACAACCTCCTCGCAATGGCCATGGAGGCCAACAATGCTGTGGAAGGTGGTGCAGTTAGCAACCCTGCTGAAAGCCTCGCGACTCAGACTGCAGTGGGTAAGACTCCAGCGGCGGCCCCACGCTCCATAGCGTCCTTCTTTGAACCCGCCCCGGGGGAACGTGGGGCAATAGGGCACGTACTGCTGAGGCCCGCCCAACAGAATCTACCGTTGCTGAGACTCCCACAGCACCGGCTGCGCCTGCCACAGCGGGTGCCGCTGAAGCCCGCGAAGCAGAACCTACTGTTGAGAGTCTCACAGCACCCACACCGGCACCCGAAAAGGCAGCTCTCTCGCCAATCACCAACACCCTGAGCGCGCCTACTGCTGAGAACCCTGCAGCAGCACCGCGCTGCGGGGAACCATCGTGCACCAACAAGCCCTTGTGGGCAGAGCCAGGGAAGGATATGCCGGAGTTTTGCGGCAGGCATGCGAAGTCTGGCGACGTCTACATCAATATAAGGTGTGCGCACAGCGTCTTGCAGTTTGCAGCACATAGGAATCTCATGGCTCAAGCAAACCAAAGAACAGGACGCGCCTGATTGCCTGATCAATTGTCAGATGGAAAAAATTAAGCGATTTTCACGTCGTGTCGTCGCGCTCGCCTCACTGTATTTTGACATGTACCATGGTACACATCATGTTTACTAGTTGTTCAAATATATCATTGTGTGTAGGCTCAATGATTACTTGCTCTCTCTTTCACACACACGACACGTTTCCGCATACCGTTTTTTCTGTGTGATGTTTTGGTGGGAAGACTGCGAAACCCGTACCCAACACGTGCAAATAAAAACATAACCTCGACAGCAGTTCATGCCTGTTTGTGTGAGAGCGAAATAGGCGACGTCAGCTGCTCACCCTCTGTATCTTGCAAGCGCGGACGCAATGACTCTCAACCTGGCGGGCGTTGTCAGAGCTATCCGCTAGCCATCGTGTTTTTGGTACGTTTGTCTGATGGTCGTTGGAGCGAGCGCATTGTTACAGACACAGCACTTAACGACACGTATGCTACATGTTTCGTTGCTTCCTCGAACTCATGCGCTTGTCAGGAACGTGCAGCTGCCTGAAGCACCGACGACAGCAGCCGCAGCGGCGCCCGTCGGCGACACCATGTTTCCTGGAGAGTCAGAGGAGTGGACAGATGGTTTCGGTGGGCGTCTCGACGGCACGCCGGCTGAGGGCAAGGGCAAGGCCAAGAGGAAAAGAGAGCCGCTGGAAGTGGAGCCACCGAACTTCCCCATGAAGTTTGGTGGTGGCCAGAAACGCAACCGGCACGATTTGGAACTCAAAGTAAACGCCATTTAAGTACGCGACCATGTACAGCCCGGGGGCGCAGGGGCCTAATGGCACCATCGGTGTGTCGTATGCGCAACGAGAAGATCACACTCTCAGCGTGGATAAAAGACAGAACGAAATACGAGAAGCAGCTGGACAAGGCAGACCAGCCCGGAGCGTAAAGTCGTTCAACACGGGGAGGGTTCGGTCAAACGCGGAGGCCGAGCTCAAACTTCTCGACTGGATCAACGATGTTTGTTCGGAAGCCATCTCTGCCCGCGTCTCTACAAGGATGATCAAGAACAAGGCGGTATCGCTTAACTCGCTTTGGTTCGGCCCGAGGCCTGCAGCGAACGACCTGGAGGGCAGAATAAAGTACCGCAACAAGCAAACTCACTGGTGCAGGAGGTTTCTCAAGAACCGGTTGTCATTCCGGGCGGTTACCAGGTAAGGCCAAAACATCCCTTTCGGGTGGCCTGCGATTGCCATGAAAGCCGTCAAGGAATTGAGGGCGCTTCGTCACGGAGGAATCGACGGTGGGGGAGGATGAGGCACGGGGGGGGCAGCGGGCAGTGCGCCTTCGAAGCCACCTCTGTTGTTCAAGGAGGAGCAGAGCTACAGCATGGTTGAAACTGCTGTGTGGATGGAGGTCGCTGGCACGTCGACCGTGGCGGTGAGTACAAATAGTGTTGCTTTAAATCATGTGCCTGTCGTCGTTTCTGGGCATTCCGTGCAAACAGTGGGCATTTTGATGCCATATTTCTTGCCGTATACCTACTCAGTGTCCAGCCAGTATGGCTAGACGACGCTGGTATTGTGCTTATGCCGCGTTAGAAGAATTTTCGTATCATTCGCTTCCATCATCACTGTACTGCAAAACTGACATGTTTGTGCTTGAAGAGCTGTCATCCTCATCTACAAAATGGACTTTTTTCGTCGCCTCTGCTGCCTCTATTGCTTTTTGCTTTTTATTTTTGTCGTTCGCAGCACACCGGTCAGAAAGAGGTGGCCATCAAAACCGGTGGAAAGGAAAAGTTGCGGATCACTGCTGTGCTTGCAGCAAATATGAAGGGCGGCAAACTCCCGCCGCTGCTCATCTTCAAGGGCAAGCCCACGGCGCCGGGAAAACCCCTCGCTGCAAACAGCGTCGAACGAGAGTTTATGGTGGACAAGGACAAGAAGGGGGTAGCATACCCTCAGAGCGTTGTGTACGCCGTGGACGACAAGGCGTGGCCACCGCAGCGCGTCTTCAGAGATGTTTGGCTCCCCCAAGTATGGAACCGGCGCCCGGGTCGTGAGGGGGTCCTGGGCAACTACCGTCAGCCGGACACGCTGCTATCGTGGGACGATTACACCGTGCACAAGACAGCCCTGTGCAAGGAAGCGATGGACAAGTCCAACACAACGCTGTTTTTCGTCCCCGGAGGCCCAACGCCCAAGATCCAGCCTTGCGATGGACTTATCAACAAACTCTTAAAGTCCAACATGTCCAGGCTGTACGACGACCACATGGCCTCCACCGACGCCGTGCGCAACGACCGCGGCTACCCGGAGCCCCCATCGAGGGGAATGCTCGCGCAGTGGGTGAAGAAAGCGTGGGATAAAGTGGACCTTGAGAGCATCCGTTCGAGCTGGAGGAAGGCTGGCATGACCCTTGCCTTCGATGGGTCTGAAGACGAGGCGTGGGCCAACAAGGAGCTCAACTCCGACGCCCAAGGGAAACCACTTCGTGCAGACGGCGACGCGGCTGCTGCCGGCGTAGAGGAGGCTGGCCCATCGGAGGAGGGGAAGACGATGGCAGACTTGTTGGAGGTGTTGGAAATCGACGACGATGACAGCACGGGAGATGGCGAAGGCATCGATGACCCGGGGGTTGAGGTCATGGCAGACTTGCCGGGGGCGGACGTTGTTGCATAGACTGAGCGTCTTGTCTGGTATCTACCTACCGTGGTTGCATACCATGGTCAAGTCAACCAAAGCTGCGATTCCATCCAATTTGTCCGGTGTTCCATATGTTGTGGTAGTCGCTTGTCCTCTTTGGATGTTGTTTCTAGCTTTGGTTGAGATATAGCTGGCACTTGCTTGCGTCCTGTGTAGTTCCAACTTGAGTGGTGAACGCGAGTCTTGCAAGTCGTTGCGTCGTCCAGGTACCTGTCTGTTTGCTGTCATTGTGTCGCACACAACACCGGCACAACCGCTATGAGGCATCGGTACTACGTGTTCGTTGTGTATGCGGAGAATTTCCAAAGGATACTGCGACAATGCACGTGGGAAAGCATGTACGTGATGGAGTGGCGTGAGCCACCCTAGCTAACACACCTGTTTTACACCCCTTCACGCCCTTTGTAGGTGGGTGCCTCCTTTGAGCTGCATCACTCGGGTGACATTATTATCACATCCCCGTAAGTAGGGTCCTGTGAGCGCACTGCAACCACACGGGCGACATGATCACACCCCCGGCAGGCCGGGTCCTGCGTGCGCGCTTCATAACACGGGTGAAGATATCACACCCGATTGTTGTCACGCCCCCTCGTCATCACACCCCCTTGTTGTCACACCCCTTGTAAGCCGGGTCCTGTGAGCGCGCTTCATCACACGGGCCACGGTATCACACCCCATTGTTATCACACCCCCTGTTGGTGGGGCTCTGTGAGTGCACGTTATCACACGGGTGACATAAGATATCACACCCCCTACAGAATACCACACCCCTGTGATAAGTTTTGTCCCCCCGAAAATGTTATCGCACGGGTGTGGTATCTTATGCAACCTACGGTAGTCTAGTCTTTCTGTGTTTTTATAATTTTTTTAATTTTCTTGATATCACACAACAAATCCATCTCTTATCTATAGAAATAAGTCTGTTTGTAATTATTAGACTATGTTTCCTACGATGCTACACTAGACTATATGTTCTTACCTACGTTTGAGCGCGGAAAAATAATGATGTAATCAAACACCCATAACAACACTTTAAGAGAACAACAACATAGTCTAGAAGAGACAAAGAAAGGGCCGTACGTAGCTCCGCTAGAACCGTCATGCGAGATAAAGGGGAGCCGCACCACCGTTTGCCAAGCAAGCATCGGGTACAAGGAGCTCATCAACCTCCCGAGATAAAGGGGAGTCGCACCATCGTTTGCCAAGCAAGCATCGGGTACAAGGAGCTAATCAACCTCCGCCCACTCGATGCCCTGTCAGTATCCTGGCAACCTGCAGTTCAGCTGCCATTTTGAAAGGTGTGTGGCTGCCTTCTACCGTCTCTATTGTGCCGACTCCAGAAAATTGAGTCGTGTTTGTGTGTGTGTGTGTTCGTCCTATATATTGTGGCGACAGTCCCCCCATTCATTTTTCGTGGTGAGACGTGTACACTTTTCAGCGTATGTATATGTAGAGTACTACAATTTTCAGTGTATTTTACAACTACAACCATCCGGGTCACGCAGGAGAGGGTACACACCAGGGCTTTTTCTTCCGGATTTGTCTATTTACGCCACCGGTGGCGCAATTTCTTATATGCGCCACCGCTCTTATCTCCGCCCACAGAGCTTCAATTGGCACAAACTAAAAATTGTGGTGTAGCTATGACCCATAGCAATCATACAAGCCAACTTGAAGCAAAATCCATTCGGTCGTTGGAAAGTTATGCTCGAAAAAGGGGGC